TCTCTCTATTAAACTAAATACTGATTTAGCTTTTTTAATTTTTTGTGTGTTAATTATTTTTCCCAAGACAGAAAAGAGCCCCGATTTAACTGTTTACAAAGCTCAGTTGTCTTTTCTTTGTAGTTGCTGTCAGTGACGTCTAAGACTCTTGTATATATTTTTGTCTCCGACTCCTCGACACATATACTTTTTAAAAATTATGCATCTTGATTTTGTATTTCCCTCTTCATTTTGTGCTCTAAAGCTTTCAGAAACATCCTCGTTGAGCTGATACTAATTCTCTTTGTTCTATTCAGAAAAAGCAATTATACTGTTCATGGGATTAACTCATTTTAATTATGCTGTGTCCTGTAAAGGTTGGTATCATGGCATCTATCTTACAGAAAAGGATTAATGCTTCTATTGGATTTTCTTTCCATGGAACTGCAAATCTTTTCCTCCATTCTTCTTTCTACCTAAACACCTGCTCCAAATAGTTGGAAACCCCTCTGGAAATCTCTAAATGAATTTAATTTCAGTATGTGTGTGAGTCTACACAGGCAAAATAAAAGCCAGACTCACTTCTGTCGATTCCCATAATGTTTACTGATTTTGGTGGGTATTGTGGATACAAAGGATGAAGCTGTTCAAACAGGACAAAGTCTAGAGTTTGCATATTATCCAGCAGCTTTGGAGTAGTTTAAACAACAACAACAACTATTATTATTGTTATTATTATTATTATTATTATTATTATTATTATTATTATTATTATGAAACTACAAGCAAATAATATGTCTGCCTATAATGTTCAAACTAATGACAGGCATAATAGCTGATCAAATCCAGGATAATTTGGAGACGAATAACATCATGCCAGTGGAACAAAAAACTAATAAAAGAAGAAGCAGGGGCACGAAAGATCATCTTCTGATTGACAAGATGATAATGGAGAATTGCAAAAGCCACAAAACAAACTTCTATACAACTTGGATTGATTACAAAAAAGCATTTGTCTCACTGCCACATAGTTGGATCATCAAATGTCTGGATGTCATCAGGGTTTGTGAAAATATTAGTAAGTTCACTGAAAATGTAACGAAAGAATGGAAAGCTGGGTTGTTTGTGGGCATCGAAAGCTATGGAACTGTTAACATCAAGAGAGGAATTTTCCAGGGTGATTCACTGTCACCACTGCTGTTCATAATTGCAATGATCCCACTGTCGGTAATTCTGCAGAAAACAAATCTGGGCTACCAAATGGCAAGTAATTCATCAAAAATTCCCACTTACTGTACATGGATGATCTAAAGCTTTATGGAAAATTAGAAACTGAAATCCAGCCACTGACCAATATAGTAAGAATCTTCAGCACTTACATCAGTATGGATTTTGGCCTTGACAATTGTGCCACAGTGGCATTAAAGAAAGGGAAAATTACTCACAGTGACGGCATAGAGATGCCAAATGGACAAACCATAAAGTGCAATCAGCCTGAAGCCTATAAATATCTGGGTATACTACAGATAGACGACATCAAGCATGGACATGTTCAGCTAAGAATATGTCCAAAGGGTCAGAAAAATTCTGAAGAGTGAATTAAATGGCGGAAATACGAACAAGGCTATTGACACCTGGGCCATCCCCATCATCAGATACACTGCTAGAATTGTGCACTGGGTGAAAGCAGAACTGGACGATCTGGAAAACTAATGACAATCCACTACTCATGACACCCATGTAGTGATGTCGACAGACTTCGGGAGGCAGAGGGCTTCTGCAAGTGAAACAAATGGTAGAAGAAGAGAAACATGCACTGGCAGATTATGGGGAAAGCAGTCAAGAACCAAAATTGGTGGAAGTCAATAGTACAGTGATTCTCAACCTTCCTAATGCCATGACCCCTTAATACAGTTCCTCATGTTGTGGTGACCCCCAACCATTAAAATATTTTTGTTGCTATTTCATAACATTTTGCTACTATTATGAATTGTAATGTAGTTTCATTCACTGGACCAAATTTGGCACAAATACCCAACACTCCCAAATTTGAAAACAGGTAGGGTTGGGGGAATTGATTTTGTCATTTGGGAGTTGTAGTTGCTGGGATTTATAATTCACCTACAATCAAAGAGCATTCTGAAACCCACCAATGATAGAATTGGGCGAAACTTCCCACACAGAATCCCCATGCCTTGAAGGGACTCAGTCATGAATGATGTTTCAATGGCTTTAAAGCAGGGATCCTCAAACTTTTTAAACAGAGGGCCAGGTCACAATCCCTCAAACTGTTGGGAGGGCCGGATTATAATTTGAAAAAAAAACACATGAATTCCTATGCACACTGCACATATCTTATTTGTAGTGCAAAAATCACTTAAAATATTACAATAATTAAAATGAAGAACAATTTTAACAATTATAAACTTATTAGTATTTCAATGGGAAGTGTAGGCCTGCTTTTGGCTGATAAGATAGACTGTTGTTGTTGTTGTTGTTGTTGTTGTTGTGTGCTTTCAAGTAGTTTCATACTTAGGTTGACCCTGAGCGAGGGCCGGGTAAATGACCTTGGAGGGCCATATCCGGCCCCCGGGCCTTCGTTTGAGGACCCCTGCTTTAAAGCATAGGTTCTTTTTATTGCAATTTCCAGTGTGAGAAGGTATATCAGATTACAGAAAAACATTTAGACATACAGACATACAGATTCTATGCAACTATATTGGATGTGCAACAACTTACAGTTACATTGGACTAACAAACATTACATTTTCACTCAGCATTCACACCACATGTACACGCATTCATCCTCAGGCATTCAAATATTACCATATGATTTTCTCCCTCCTTGGAGAAGCACCTATTAGGCCAGACCCTGCTTCCCTGCAGCCTGCCGACGTATAGTTCCAAAACTTCCATAACTTTAAAACACCAAAATGCCAAAACTTCTTTCCCTAAGAACAATGCCAAGGACCAGATCTCTGTTCTCCATACAGCAGAACCTGACTCCCTGCACAAAACCTAAGACTCCAAAAGCACACTTCTTCCTCTTCCCTTGAGAAAGAAGCCCCAAATTGACCAGATTGCTCCCTTGCAAATCTGCCATTCTCCATAGTACACTATCTCTCTCCTTCCCATGGAGCAGAGCATGGCGGGTGAAGCAGACCCTCAGGTCTGCCACACTTTGAGCATTATTAGACTGAGTCTTTTATAGGAATATTCTGCTGATGTAGTCCCAAAGTTGTAAATTAATGATAGACATCTTCCATCCTGGCTCCATCTCAGTTTCCTGGCCAGATGTTGATCTTCTTGATTGGTGTTGATCTTATGTTGACTTCCTTCTTAACATTGTAAACATTTCTGTTATCACTGTCCCAATTCTTATCAGAGTTTACTTTTCAGTTCTTATTAGCAACTTTTAATTACAGTCCAGCAAGCAGGTAGTTAGTCATTGCAGGCCTTAATATTAAACTGGTGTCCCCAAAATTATTAGCTCCATCCATACACCTTCCATTCTTCTGTTCATCCCCACACATCATATTAAATTCACATTGATCAAATCTGCAGTGATATTTATGTGACAACTCACTGGTGCAAGCCTCCCTCCAGCCAGGGGCGGCTCGTCCATTACGCGAAGTAAGCGGTCGCAGAACACTTTTTTTTGCCAGGGGTGCAGAGGCACCTCTGTAAATGCCCCTCGACGCCACTTGAGGAGCGCCCCCTCAGCTCACAACAGCCCTAGCAGTCCGGGGGGAGCCTCGGCTTTCTTGCCTCGCTGCCGGGCGATCCTCTTCCCAAAGGGGCCGGGCCCTTGAGCTTTGCCTAGCCCCTCTCGTTCCTGCTCCACCTGGCCACCGGGTGCGCGAGCAAAGCCGGTGCTCAATCGTTCTCCATGTTCGATCCCTTCCCCATGACCGGCTCCCTTTCCCGATCCCCCGGCGCTCCACCCGCCTCCTCTCCTCTCCCCAATCCGCGGGTGGGCCAAGGGGTGGAGCCGCCGCGCCTGGCCCGCTTCGGGTCCGGAGGCATGTCTGAAGACCCCAGCGTGCGCACCAAAAGTCACCTCTTCTCCTGACTTTCTCTTCAGCCATTGGGAAGAGAGAGAGAGAGAGAGAGAGAGAGAGCCCCTCCAGCTGGAGGTATCTCCCACCTCCGCTCCCTCCTTTGTTTTTGCACCTATCTTCAGGAAAGGTGGGCATCTCCACCTCTCTCTCTCTCTCTTCTCTTGGTCCCAATGGCTGAGGAGAAAGTCAGGAGAAGAGGTGACTTTTGGTGCACATGCCGGGGTCTTCAGGCACGCCTCCGGACCCAAAGCAAGGGAGCAAGTGCGGCAAGTGTAGTTACTGGGATGTATAGTTCACCTACAATCAAAGAGCATTCTGAACTACACCAATGATGGAATTGAACCAAATATGGCACACAGAACTCCCACGACAAACAGAAAATATATATCAATGATTGGTTGGGGGGGGGCAAAATACTGTTTGCTTACCGTTAAAAATTACCTAGGGCCGCCTCTGCCTCCAGCCTTGCATGCTCTCCCTCTCCCATACATGCACACCACACTGCCATGCACCAAGTATGCCTACTCTCCCCTCTCCGCTTGGAGTCTCAGAAACATCCCTCCCCTTGGCTGAGAGGATGGCCAATCACAGAGGAGGAGGGCTTTTGGTGGGAAGATTCGCCGTCTGTTTCCAAAAAGAAAGAGAAGGACAGGTGAAGAGATCTTCACCGTTCTCTGCCAAAGGAGTTCCTAACACCATTAAAAATATGTGTTTTTTTATGGTCTTTGGCAATCCCTTTGAAACCTCCTCATGCCCCTTATGGGGGTCCCCCAGGTTGAGAATTGCTGTTATAAGGCCTTTAAACTGAGATAAGCAAAGTCGAGGAAAACTCCTAAATAGAGCCCTAATGCATATCAGTGCACTCAAGTATAAGTCCACATCACACAGTGAATGTGACTCCACAGAATGCGAATCCCTGTGCGGACACCCAAAGTACTCCGCTGCTCCGCACATGCTGGTTTCACCCAGGATGAAGTGCTCAGTGCAAACGTGGCCCCGGGTCAGAGCACGGCTTTAATACTTTGGGAAACCTCTTCTGTACCTTTAAGACTACCCTCTCTTTTTCCAAGCAAAAGCTCAGCTCCTTCAAGACCATCCAAATCTATTTTTAGCTGTTCCACCGGGGTCTCTTTCCGAATGCCAGCGGCCCTTTCAATTACTACAGCTAGGATCAAGTCCAAAACTCTCTTCAGGTGCCTTCGAATGAACTCAGGCTGCCTTCTTCTTTTTCCTCGGAAGGTAAGATTATTATTATTTTTGCTTTGCTAGCAGTACTGCAGTATTTTTTGCCACCTTTTGAGTTCTGCCAGCTGCTTTTCCCACGACTGCATTCAGAGAGAGAATTGGACTCCATCCAAGTGATATTTATATATATTTGTTTGCTTGCTGGGGATGCTGTTGCTTCTGATGGTTTGTGTTAGTAGCGTCTCGTGTATGCAGATGAATCGGGTCAGCTGACCCGAGCTTTCTTTTTTTCTTTTCTTTAACCCTTTCCGAGATGCTGGAGATTGAGGGATCTTGGTGAACAAAAAAAATATGTTTTATATCAAAAGGATATCGGGACGTTTGCAGGTCTCTCTCTTCCTCTAGGCAGGTTTTACCCTACTAAGGATGTGAAGTTTCATAATTAGGTATGTACTCAATGTTTTGATTCTTTCTGGGATGGATGTGCACCGGAGATTATTTTCGAATCCGAAATCAAAACACAAGTGAAAAGACGGGGAGGGGGACCATACAGCTGTGGAACTGAGGGCATGCCCCGTATCTGTAATCATTTGCAGACAGAGTCTTTTGCTTATTTGCAATTTCTGTCCCAGCTGGCGGGGAGGAGAGTGTTTGACACAGTCGGGTGATTACTTAGAATAGAAGACTACAGCTGCAGTCTTCTCCTGGACTTACCTGGAAATATGTCCCATTGCATTCAGTTGGGCTTACTGTAGCATTCTGTGCATATGTGGGATTGCACTGTGTGTTTTGTATCTGTTCGAATCCCATGCCTCTTGGAGTGGCTTCCCATCACTCTGTGATTTTAGACATCATGGAAAGAGGCACTATCTTCCCTCCCTTGGTGTAGCCTCTCCTCCATCTTGTTTGCTTATTTTTGTTGCTTTGCAGCTGCGGAGAGTCAGGAAAGTAAGCAAAAACAGCACCCGTGTAGACATTAATAGGAAATTGTTGAGGCAGATTTGTACTTCAATACTTGAATATCCACTTAATTGCTTGAATACAAAGTATGTTCTTGGTGTCCATTGAACAAATGCGGTTTGGGACCACTTGGACTGTCGCAGCTCATTGCTATGGACTCATAGTGTCACAAGGTTTTTAGCTTTGCACTCTTTCTCTGGGACCTCACTAAACTACAGATTCCAGGATTCAATATAATTGAGCCATAGCAGTCAAAGTGGTGTCCAACTGTATTCGTTCTACAGTGTAAATGAGCTCTCAATTGAAGAAACTTTCTTGAAATGTAATATCTATGTACTGGATACAGATCTTTGTGTCAATGCCTTGTACAAGGATGGGACCTGTTTTGGTTTAAGGCAGTGTTTGTCAATCTGCGGGTCAGGACCCCTGGGGAGGTCACGAGAGGGGTGTCAGAGGAGTTGCCAAAGACCATCAGAAAACATATCTTTCTGATGGTCTTATGAATCTATTTGGCAGAGAAGTCTGAAGATTTCTCCACCTGTCCTCCTCTTCCTTTTTGGAAACACACAGTAAATCCTCTCACCAATAGCCCTCTTCCGCTGTGATTGGCCGGCCTCTCAGCTGGCCTCTCAGCCAATGGGAGGGCTATTTGTGAGACTCCAAGTGGGGAGGGGAGAGCAGGCATGTTGGTGCATGGCAGAGTGGTGCACATATACGGGCAAGGGAGAACATGCAAGGCTGGAGAGAGGTTTGCGTCAGCGAGTCCCTTTAAGACATGGGGGTTCTATGTAGGAAGTTTGGCCCAATTCTATCTTTGGTGGGGTTTAGAATGCTCTTTGATTGAAGGTGAATTACAAATCACAGAAACTACAACTCCCAAATGTCTAGCTCTACTTTCCCCAAACTTCACCAGTGTTCACATTTGGGTATATTGAGTATTTGTGGCAGGTTTGGTCCAGATCCATCATTGTTTGAGTCCACAGCGCTCTCTGGATGTAGGTGAACTACAACTCCCAAACTCAAGGTCAATGCCCACTAAACCCTTCCAGTATTTTCTCTTGGTCATGGGTCGTGGTCCCCAAGAATGAAAATACGGTCCGTGGCCTCACTATTACTATACTGTTGCCTCAAAACCTTGCAGCAACGAGAGCGACTGGTCTCGTGAAACCCTCTTATAGTTCCGAGGCAATGGGGATGTTGGGAGGGGAGAGGCTGACTACTCACGAAAGATACTACTACCACATCAGCTCTAAATATGGTTTTCTGTGGGTGAGCAAATGTTGACTACTGGATGACTTTTGTTCTGTATCAGAAACTAGAGCTGATCTTTATCCAATGCACCCCAAATAACCAAACCAAATATAAAGTTGACCAAAAACTGATTTGTATTCCTTTTGGTACTAATGTTGGAGAGTGGTCTCTGGTCAACATGGCCCTGGTCAAGTAGTCATTGGACAAGTGGTCCCTGGTCAAGTAGTCCCTGGTCAAGTGGTCCCTGGTCAAAGTGGTCCCTAGTCAAAAAAAGGTTGGGAACCACAGTATGAAGAGGACTAGCCACAAGTGTAGGAACATATCACTTCATTATCTGTTGTTTTTCTCCCTTTCCAAATTTTAACCTTCTCTTAAGTTCTTGAAAAATTCCAGTCTCCCAGGACAAAATTCAATAGGCATATCTAGTCTATATACTATTCAGGCAAAAGTGTAGAATTTTTAATCAAAAATCTAAGTTGATCAATGCACAGGTCAATGTGAGTTCTTGATAACTCTAACCAAAAACAGAACCGTCTCCATCTTTGAGTAGAGTGGTGTGGAGAAAGAAAAACTTAGTCCGCCCTGGAAGAACCTTCAACCCCTTTTAAACACTCCCATCAACCATGTCAAAGTGGTCCCTGGTCAAGTGGTCCCTGGTCAAGGTAGTCCTTGGACAAGTGGTCCCTGGAAAATTGGTCCCTGGTCAAGTGGTCCCTGGTCAAAGTGGTCCCTGGTCAAATGGTCCCTAGTGAAGTGGTCTCATGTCAAAGTGGTCCCTGGTTAAGTGGTCCCTGGTCACGTGGTCCCTAGTCAAAATGGTTCCTGGACAAGTGGTCCCTGGAAAATTGGTCCCTGGTCAAGTGGTCCCTGGTCAAGTAGTCCCTGGTCAATTGGTACCTGGTCAAGTGGTCTCTGGTCAAAAGAAGGTTGGGAATCACTGGTTTAGATGTAAGTTTCCACAGGACTCTAAGTTACATATTCCATATTTTATTTTTAGCCGAGATTTTTCTATATATCAAAGAGACCAATGGACTGTAAGATGATGGATAGATCTCCAAATTATTGCCTTTTTACTTCCAATGTGAGTTAGCAACATTATGTCTAATGTGATACTTTTACATCTCTTTTCTTCACTGTGTCAGCATTCTCCATCTTTGCAATTCAACTATGGGCACAATGTCCAGTTTTGAGGGCTTCTTCTTTCTTCTCCATATAAAACATTTTTGAGTCTCCATTGAGTCTCCATTGAGTCTGATGTAAAAGTCCCAGCGACCTCATGGTCTTCTGTGTCATTTTAGTGGTCCTACTAAGTGCATAAATCTGCTGTTTTCCTCGGTAACCACTCAGTAAGAAGATCTCAGCAGGAGTCCAATGTTCTTTTCGAACTAGACTTCTATTTGAATGCCTCTCCCGGCTCCACCCCTGGCAAAACCCGCAGAGGAATTAACATTATGGCCAGTGGGAAGGTGCCAGATGAGTTTTCCAAAGCTCCCAATTAATCTTCCCTCCGCAGGCTGTGAGTTGAATTGCTGTAATTCCACATATGTTAATGGAAAATACTGCTGGGAGACATTAGCGGCAATTCCCTCGGAATGATGGGATTTGCTCTGATGTAATATCTGATTGAGATTAGAAGAGGGCACTTTTTAAGAAGAGTTTATGTTTTAAGTAGAAACGAGCAAATGCCTTCCTCAAGAAAATCCTGTCAAACACAATTTAAACTCTTAGTATAAAGGACCCCATATTGTGGTTTTCTTCCAAGTGAGAGGAGTGGGTTCAAATACTGATTTCTTTGCATTACAAATACCGATATTCCATCTGTCGCTCAGCCTTGAGCTATGGTCTCTCTTTAGACGTATTCCATATTGTTAAGAGAAATTTGAGTCATTTCCCTGATGAGGACTCAATGATGGTGATGATGATTGAGACAAGGCCTAAACATTGCCAGAATCATTTACACTAACTGCAAATGGAAATTGAAAATATGATGGCCTAGAATCTAAATTACTCTGACTATGGTATTAATGCTGTGTTTACACTTGATGATTTTATCCAGTTCCTTTATGGCTGCCTTTCCATGCCCCCATCTGCTGGAGCAGTGGTTGCCAACCTTTTTTTTGACCAGAGACCACATTGGCCCAGGGATCTCTTTGACCAGGCACCACTTTGATCAGTGACCACATGACCAGAGACCATTTTGACCAGGAACTACTTTGACCAGGGACTGCTTGACCAGGGACCAATTTGACCAAGGACCACTTGAACAGGGACTACTTGACCAGGGACCACCTGACCAGGGACCACTTTGATCAGGGACCACGTGACCAGAGACCACATGGCCAGGGACCATTTGACCAGGGTCCACTTTGACCAGAGACCACATGACCAAGGACTACTTGACCAGGGACCACTTTGACCAGCGACCACCTGACCAGGGACCACTTTGATCAGGGACCACGTGACCAGAGACCACATGACCAGGGACCATTTGACCAGGGTCCACTTTGACCAGAGACCACATGACCAGGGACCACTTTGACCAGAGACCACATGACCAAGGACTACTTGACCAGGGACCACTTTGACCAGGGACCACTTTGACCAGGGACCAAATACTCCAGAATCTATTTATTATTTATTTATTTATTTATTGCACTTCTACCCCACCCTTCTCAATCCCCGAGGGGGGATTTAGGGCAGCTTACAAAAGGCACAATTCGATGCCAGCAACAACAGCAAGGTAAAAATAAAACATATATAAACAGCAATTAAAACAATTAAAACAATCCATTATACATCACAGTCCCTAAAAAACCAATCTAATGCTCAACGTTTGCCAGTTC